GGTTAAGCCAGTTTTTGATCTACTTTTCAAATTCTTATCAACTTTAAACTCTAATACTCTTTGTTTTTTCTCCTAACATTTTCTTCCACTGCAGCCTCGAAATGACCCCGACCGCGACCCCAACCCTAAATGGGCTATGCATTTTCTTATTTTCTCGCTGTCTCCCTTCCACCACTTGGCCTAGACTCCCCGTCTCTTTTTCGTGCGCGTAATTACAGCGGCCAAGTCGAAGTTTTTCCTTATGGGCCAGGTCAAAGAGCCACTGAAACGCTGAACGCTGAAACACTGGGCCACTGCGACATCGAGCGGTGCTCATTAGACCAAAGCGTTTGCAGGTCGCGTTGAGGGTGCATAGACATCTGTAGACGACGTAGCACGAGCTATGTCCTTATGTTTAGCGCATTTCGTTGTAATAATTTGAAATTTTGATCAGGTGTTTCTTTTTATGCATTTTGGCTTTCTTTCCGCCGGGGAAGTGGAGTGGTAGTGGAAGTGAAAGGGGCGGGGAGTGCGCGGTTCAAAGGGGAACTATGAGCGTTGAGGTCGACGGACCGTGTAACGCAACTGCAAGTGGCTAACTGTCTTGGCTCAAAATGCTCAACAAACGGGCAGGAAACCCGGGGAAAAAGCGCGCAATTTCGGGTGGTTCTTGAGCTGGGCTATTTGGCATTTGAACCGTGTCGTGGGGTCTGCTCGAGGGAATGCCAAGAGTCTGATTTCGCAGGCCAACAGGTGTGGAAAGGCAAGCTGCAAATGTTTACCCGGTAAACACTCTGAAATAAACAAAGATCTTTCAAGTTAATATTAACCAATATTGCTTGTGCAATTGCTTGATTACCAAATCAAAGAAATGTTTTCATTTAAATATTTGTCTGAATGCATTTCCTGTGGCCCTATATATTTTCTGAAATATATGTTCTGAAGACAATGCCCACACTACACCCAGTTTTTCAGCTCAATCTGCATCGCCCACTCTCGGATATGTGGGCACTCCTAGTCGATTTGCTTGGCAACCGGCCTGAACAACCTGATCCGATCCTCCTTCGTCGGCATCGCTCTGAACTTATTGAGCAATTTTATTTTTTGGGCGGCAGACGTTGCATAAATAATTCGCTTGCATGGGGAGTCTGTGTGTGCAGACGATGAGTGCAATGCGAGTACTAATGAGTGCCAGATCAAAGTCAATTTCGGGGCCCACGTAAAGTCACGCAATATTGTGTGGAGGCAGGATGCCAGGATCGAATCAGAATGGGGAGCGTCGGCTTGGGGACCCAAGAAAATGATTCAAAGGGTTGCTCTAACTAAGAGTACTCTAAATACATGATATTATATAAAGATGGTAAGGTTGATAAATACTTTTAGTGTTCGAAAAAGTAAGTTGTTTATGTCACAAAGTGTTAAAGGGTATTTCTACAAGCGACCATCTCAGTTTTTAATGTCTCCCCAATTTGTTCTTGCAAATGTACTAACTTCTTTTGTTGTGGCAAAAAAGAGAGAAAAGCGTGCAGCGCACGTACCTACGAAATTATGATCCCGGCAAATTGAGTTCAGTTCTGGCTGAATGGGTTTTTGGGAGTGCTCACGAAAATTGCCGAAAAACGAGCGAAAACGTGCGATCCAATCGAGCACATGCAAATCGAAATTCAAGCTTGAAGAGCGAAGAGGTTTGTGGTCGCAACTCGAGTTGAAACTGATCCGCTTAACTCTGCTGACCGGAAAGTGCATTAAAAGCTGACCAGCGGACAATGGCTAGGAATTTAGGAAAGGTTAAGCGATCCGGTCCGGTAAAACAAACAACTCGAGGCCAGGACAATGGAGCACCCAATGCAGGCCCTTCTAATGCAATTAAAATTTCTTGTGTCGTAAGTCAAATGCGAATCGAAGCGTAACCCGTTGGTCAAGCCAAGTGTTTGTTTAGTTGCGGTCAGTTGCGTTTGCTCAAAGGATCAGCGATGGGATATTGTGTAACCGATCCCCGGAAAATCTTGCTCCTGCGCCGAAGGGGTCAGCAAATCGCGTTAGGGCATCGAAATGTTGAAATTAAGCGTTAAATGGAAAAACAAAAGCTTAATCTCAAGAACAAGGCAATGAAAAGACAAACTAGGCGGCGCACAAAGGAGTCATAATTGCGAAGGGGTCACTCATGCATTCGCATTCGCGGCACTGCAGGGGTTGCAATGGGTTGTAATGGGTTGATCGGATCGGAATAGAATCGGACCTCGGTGGGGTGGACACTTGAACCCGGAGCTGGTCAACGGCGCATTTTTGACAGCCACCGTTTTTATTCAGCGGCAACCGGTTTTCCATTTTTCTCAAGCTGCGGTTATTTGCAGAGTTTTGACGCTGGCCGCGTAATGAAGATAAACGATTTACAATAAAATTTTATTGTCCTTACACCACCGGGATTGCGAGTTTCAAGAAGCCGGTCAGGGATATTAATGATTGGCTGACCACCGCCAAGGACGAATACGTTGACCATGCGGGACAGGACCCTGCTGGAAATGCATTCGAAAAGGTGTCTAATGCGCAAATCCTGTTTAGATAGGACCCCCAGCATGAAGTTAACTTAACTGACAAGGATACTTATGTGATTTGGTTTGCTATGGAATTATATGATGGTTAGTTTCGCGACCCCTTCTTAAAAATAACCTACACTACAGTGTCGCCACCTTTATCATTTGACGTTTATTTTATGAACTATAATCCAAAACATTTTAAAATTTGTTTTGAAAGCATTCCTTGAAATGGTCACCTTAATTGGAACTCCACGATGGTTGCTGTCGATTTCAATGTCAAAAATTTCTGTTGACATGTAAAATAGTACTGTAGAGTAGCGCTAGATGACGTCTTTAAGTCATAAGTAGAAATTAATGTCTGAAATTATGTGGTCGTATGGTTAACTAATAAATCGAAATATTTAACAATTTTTTAGGTAAAATGCCTACTTTAATTCCAGAAGTGTTTTTTCCCTACACACAAGAGAAACGTGAGTCGGGAAAACCTGAGCTCCAAACCGAAGCACTTGAAATATTGGTTTATACGGATTTCCCCAAGCCAAGCTATGAAATCATCAATATAATTTATTAAATTCTGAAAAAAATTAAATTGATTTTGAATTTTGGGTCCATTGTTATTTTGTATTTGCTTCTATATCTTCTTATTGATTACTTAAAGCATAAATAAGCGGCTTCCCAGCGCAACATTATCAGTCTTCTTTAGTCCACAATGCAAACAGTATTTACTTCTCTACTGCTCCTTGCAGTTTTCTGCCTTTTTTACATCGGAGTAACTGCCGATTGCTGTTATGATGGAACAGACGTCTTTGAGACCGATCTCTGTGAGGATAGCATTATGCCCGATTTACTTTGCATTGGTGATATCTTTTAAAGTCCAGGCTAATAGGGAGATATTAACAAACAATCATGTATTAGTCCCAGATAAAATTGTATATGCCAAAAAAGTACCACCCAGTGAAAAAGAAGAAGTGCTAAGAAGAATTTATTTATGCTGAAATCAATAAAACGATATAAAAATCCAATAAATCTCTAAATTTTGAGGGTTCAAAAACCAATTTGTTTTGATGAACTTTTATCTGTCGAACGTAATCTTTATGATGAAATCGAGCTTGCAATGCTCGGCAATTAATTGTTGAGTCAAGGGGGAATATCGAGCCTGGGGCATCCCGCGATTTGATCGGATAATGTGCGGCTTAATTGCACGGAACTTGCCAAAATAGCGAGTAATGAGGGGGAATCTCACCACATTTATATGACAGGATATTGCAACCCTCAGGGGCAACCCCAAGATTCTCTATGGGGTGTCTGGGGTTCGTTGGACAAACCTCACATATGGCGTTCTATTTTGCTTACGCATCGATTAGCATCTGACTTCAATAAGGACCCCCAAAATTTGGGGAACTCCCTGGGGTGTCCACTGCTGACCAATGCCAAAAGGAAATACTTTTAACAAACTCTGCTCACTCGAGAACCCGGAGCACTTAAAAGCCCTAACCCCTCCAAAATTTTGGGGGATAAATCCTGGCTCCCAGTTTCTTTTCCCTTCATTTTGTTGTCTGCTCAAAGGGTTCTGGGAATTGCTGCCTTTGACAAACGAAAATATTTTTATTAAAATTAAAATGCTTACGCAAACCGAGGCAACGGGTTGCTTTTGTGGTTTTATATTTTTTTTCGGGTGCAATGGCAACCCTTGAAGCCCTTGTCTATGCATGAATTATGGGGAATCCCCGGCTGCCACATCCGTGCCATTTTATATTAATATGCAGCGCAGTCTAGCCGCAAAATTTTAATCTTTTTAAGTGAGACCACCAGCCGGGGGCCAGACATCGGCGAATCGTTTAATCTTTTTATTGAATTACCCTCCAGTTTTTGGCAATCGAAGGGATTTTTGCGGAGTCAAGTTTGCATCTGTTTGGCGGGCATAAACCCAATTTTGAATGGCCTGTATGTGACTGCCTCGTCTCCCGCGTATGCAAATCGTCATCGGCTTACTGTTGTCATAACAATTCCATTAACAAGGGCTGTCTGTCTGGTTTGGCATATTTATGAGCTTAGGAAATTGAATTGAATTATTCAGAGCGACAAAAAGGAGTCCTCTAATGCACATGTCGATTGTATCGTTTCCTAAAAATGAATTGGATTGGCAAGGGTTTCCTTCCATTTCTATTTCTTGATTCGCCAATTGTTAAATGTATTTCATTCCGAATGGCCGCCAGATCAGCCAATCATCTAAATAATGAAAACATTGGGGAAATGCCCAAAAACCACACGAATGTCTAGTCTGGTCGACGCCACATGCACCATCGAGCATAATAAATCCGATTCGTATCTGATCTATCCCAACATCAGGGGTTGACATTTAAATTAACACCCACGTGGTAATGTGGAGCTGCCCTTTGGGGGTTGAATCAGTTTCTGTCCGCAGGACTCGGCTTAGTCCTTTCGGTTAGCTGCTGGCAGTTGGTCGTAATAAAACGCTGTTGCTTTGGTTTTGACATTTAGTTTTATTTTTCGCTGTAAATTTTCATCGATACAAATGAAAATGGAAACTTGAGTATAACTATCGTACTATTCAATTTCGTTTAAATTACATAATATTAAACTAGACGCTTGCCATTATATTTCTCTGCTTTAGTTCCCCGTTTTGTTTGCTTGCTGGTATTTTCCTTTTTCGTTTTGTTTCCCTCATTGGTCTAGTTGGTGTTTTATTTTTACACAAATCAAAAGGTCTCTTTGTCGGGGATTAAGCACTTCAACTAAACTCTATAAAGCAGGGGGATCGGCTGGTTCAGGGAACATAGAAGATATAGTGGCGACAGAGGGTCGAGCACTGAACAGAAATGCAACGATAATACAGCAAAGTACGTATTTATAAAGTGGACTAAACCAAACCGTGTAAACTAGTAAATTAAATTAGAGACTTCACTAGAATCTGTATGTTTACAGTGTGACAGTGTGTGTTTATTTCTCCATATGTGTTGGTGTGTTTCTCTGCGTGTGTATGTATTGGTGTTTCGTTTGAGGGAGATGATGTCAGATGCCTTGGCGAAAGTTCAATATAATTGAAATGTATGTTTGCTTGACTTGTTGGGTGCAGCCGCTGGCTTTTGGAATTGGATTAAGTTTGTTTTTAAGATTTTTAGTATTTCTTGTGGCTTCGGCATGTGAGGATGCCCGCTTTACTCCTTGCGCGCCTGACGCTTGCGTGCTTTTGTGGTAGTTTCCTGAAAGATATATAAAACAGAAGTCAGTATGGTTCTTTTGACTTTTGTTTTGTAACCCACCTCAGTCTGTGCGGGCTCATCGTCGTTTTCCGCCGCCTTGGCCTCATCTTCGTTATCATCTAAATCAGACTTTTGGCTCTTTTTGGGACTAGCGGACAGCGGCGTGCTCTCCTTGCTGGAGTCTCCTCCAGCGGCCCGATCGCTCTCCCTCCTCCTCAGCCTCGGGCTCATCGTCGGGCTGTGGTTCGTCTGTCTTCTTGGCTTCGGCAGCCGCCTTCTTGGCAGCAGAGTCCTGTGACAACAAGCAATATTAGAAAATCCCTCAAAAAGGCAACTTGATTCAAAGCTGAAGAACAAGCTACATTACCTGACTCTTAGCGGTACCAAATCTACAGTAGATGGTGAGGGCAACCAGCGCCACAAAGACCACCAGGCCAATGCCCCAGATCGAGGGATAGGCCTTGGCTAGCTCGACTACCTTATTCACGAATGAGTCCTATGAAATGAAAAAGCCAAATGTAACAGTAGCAATTACGGGTGCAAGGTGCAAAAGGCAAAGATGAGAGTGTACATGTGGGTGTATCGTACATATTACTAAGTTAAGAGCGAAAGATAAGGCCGAAGGCCAACCTCTTTGGCGCGACGGTAGAGATAGAAGACATAGCAACTGGCCGGAATCAAAAGGTACAGGAAGTACAGGGCCCACCAGCCGGGCTTGTAGTTCATGCGGCGCATCAGGCGGTGCCAGAAGGTTTTCTTCGGATCGGATAGAACAGTGTCTCGATTATGTTTCTCTGTGTGTTTTGTTGAGGGAGAAAGGAAAAGGTTTAAGCCAAAACTTACCGATTCGCGGTCGATGTAGCGACGCTTGATGTCGAAGCTGTTGGCGGCAAAGTCACGAGCCACGTCCACATCGTCGGTGATGATAAGATTGTCGAAGAGAATGTCACTGGACATGGACCACAGCTCCAGACCCACAGCGCTCTAAATAAAATAAATTTTGATACAGTAAACTGTATGCATAAAATCATGAAAGTAGCACTTACGATTGGGGTCATTTGGAAAGGTTTCAGATCCTCAAAGAAGTCCGGATTGACGATCTTCCTGGGAGCCCACTTGCCCTGGTAGTTGGGGTTCTCGATCATCGGTGCACGCCACTTGCCCTTGTAGTTGGGGTTGGGGATGAGTGGAGCCTTCCATTTGCCGCAGCCGGGTGCCTTCTCGCAAACAGGGTTGTCCACCAAGGGAGCCTCCCACTCGCCGTCGATTTCGGCATCCCAATCCTCGGGTTTGCTGGCCGTCGGATCGAAGATCATATCGGGCTCATCCTCCAGCCAGCCATCAGGCATCACGGCGTTGGTGTCGGGCAGTTGAGGTGGGGCATCCTCGTCCCAATCCTCGGGTTTTTGGGCTGTGGGATCTGGGATCTTCTCGCGCTCGTCCCAGGATTCTGGCTTGTGGTCATTGGGGTCATCAATCTCCGCCGGCGGGTTAACTGGCGGCTTGAAGTCGGTCAGCAGGGAGCCCTCGTTTATGATCTTGTGATCCACGCGAATCTCGAAGCTGTTATCAGGTCGCACCACCAGCTGGTAGAGATGGGGTAGCTTGTCCTTGAATGGCTCTTCCAAACGATTCCTAAATGACCAAAAGTCCATTGGTTAACGATGGGATTATAAATATACTGCTTATCTCCCCCTTAAAAAAGTCAGCTCATCAATTGGTACAAAAGTCAAAATTAGTGACGATGGGAAACGCGGGTGATAATGGTCTTAAACTGCAATAGCTTCAGCGAGCAAAGGTGATTTTGGAGTAGATATGAATCACTTTAGATTCTGAGTTCGCACAATTGCATATATCAAATTCGTTTTATCAGCTTTTTTTTGAATGGTTTACCCCGGGGGTTTTTGCAAAATTTACTGAGCACTTGCGAAAACAAAACAAAATTACTTTTCAAAGTAAAACTCTAATAGCTCGAAGCAAAACTGCCAAGGTTTATGGGGAACGTTATGGTTTTTGTGATGAAAAGTCGAATGCTCTTTTGTCACACATAGAAATAATTATTACGCTTGAATGAGCTTTCGTCGCTTGATTACCCATCTCACAAAGAGTTGTTTTCGCTTTATGGACTCACTTTGGCTTGTTGCAGTGCTTCTCGGTGATGGTGCCATTAATTGGATTGACGTGCCGGAATATGAAGTGCATTTTCACATCGTTGCCGCACTTGTCCGGTCCAAACATGATGGTATAGGGTGTCTTGTCATTGAACTACGAGTAAACAGATGCGAATTCGGGGGTTGTTTATGTTTTTCGGTCTGCGGGGTTCAGTCAGCTATGAGCTATGAGGGCATTGCCTCCCGCACTTACGGCTTTGAGTTGTTCCGTATCTTTTCCGGCAGACAGAAGCTTCAAATACGAACCACCGCACTCCTGGCCCTCCTAAAATAATAAAAAACAACGTGGGGAAACCGAGAATTGGGTCAGTAAGCGGGTATTAATTGGATTTGCCCGCCGGCTGATGCAATCCCAGAGCGGTTCGATGCGTGACGAACCTGCAACGTGACCTCGTACTGCACCACCAGCGGTTTGTCCGGCTTGAACTCGAAGGGCTTTCGCAGTGGTGCGGATATGGCCGCATGCTTGGCCTTCGACTTGAGCACCAGACCCAGGTCATTCGCCCAAACGATGCGCTGGGGAGATTCCCAGTTCCAGATGCCGTCGTACTTGGAGATCTCCTCGGCAATGTCGTCCTTCTTGGCCTGCGACAGAACCCACTTCTTCCTCGACTCCTCCACGTCGTCGAAGTGGTCTGCAAAGTGGAACTTCTTGGCATCGATTACTGGGCTTTCGTAGGCCAACTTGTCGTCTTCCTCAGTGGCAATGGGTTCCTCCTGAAATACATGTTCAAACATTAGATAAAGTGCGATAAAATCCGGAACACGCGGTTGTCAGTGAGGGAAAGTGATAAAAAGAGAGAAAAATGGGTGGCAGACGTGGTCTTAAATTGTAGAACGCTACACCGGTGGGCAAAATAATAGCAAGCAAACTTCAAAAGTGGATTTATTGCTTCCCCACTGAGGTCATGACATAAATAAGTGCATTAATCCTTCTGGTAAACTAGTTTACTTGCGTAAACGGGACGATTTATATTTTTCAACTTTGGCGAAGTTGTTGCTAAGCATAAATTTCGAGTTAATTAAGCGAGAAGTTTTGTCAACCGAATCCAATTGACGAAATCTAAACCGATTGCATAGTCAGATAAAAGTAAAATAATGATGAATAAATAAACAAAGTCAAAGGAATATGCCATTGGAGCTCATTTAAGTAACTCTCTCTTAAGTGATGTAACCTGTGGAGTTCGAGGTTACTTTGCAGTTTTACGGCTGCCATAAATATGACTGCTATCTTTTTGACCTCATCTGTGGGTAAACATTTTCCCTCGCATTTGATTTGTCGGTGGAAAACTCAACCACACTCGCATGCTAATTGTGGGTCATAAAACGAAAACGCCGGCCGCACCACCCCCTGCCCCCTTATTAACCACCTCCGCCCATGCTCTTCTAGTAGCTTCTACTGACGTGTACTTTTTCTCTCTTTTATCTTTCGGATCGCATGGCGGTACTCACCTGCACATCTTCCACATAACCGTCCTCGAAGTCATCTGATTCCGAACCCAAATCGGCGGCTTTAGCCGCACTTATAAGCAGTAAACCGCAGGCAAAGAGCAACGCCAGCGTTGCGCCCCGGTTTCCTCCCATTTTCCTCGCCATTTTCAGCCACTTTTTTCTCAGCTCGCTGGGATTTTCTATCCGTGGTGAATGGAAAACCAAGGATTTGATTGTCTTCCCCGCTTGCGCTGTTTTTCACCAATTTTCCCGAACGGCGAACTGTTGCGGAATAACGAGAATCGAGATCTGGCACGTCGAACTATTTGTAATTAAATTAAACATGTAAATTATACATTTTCTGATTCTCGCTGCCTACTGTGTTCCTAGAGGTGGTCTGAAATCGATTCACACATTCTTACGATTTTCCGGGGATATCGATTTCGCCCCTCAGACGCAATCCTTGGTTCGGGCCCCGATTAAAATAGTAGCTGTGAACCAACCCCCTCAGTAAGATTTTTAATTGCATACTTTTTACTGCTTTGCTTAAAGATGAGAATTGCAGTCAAAGAAAGTAAGCAAATTTTCAGCAACACCGATATTCCAATAATTTGAAAGGGAATGTCATTAAAATGTCGAAAAAATCGACCAAAAAATAATTTTCAAAATTTTGACGCAACTGTTAGTTCACGAGCATTTAGAGGTATTACATTTGTAAATCTAACAATATATATCAAAGTTATGGCCTGCCAAGTGCTGAAATTGGTCATATTTCAGAACATCCATTTTTCCAATGCTTTGAAAGGAAAAAAATAATAAAAAATTAATTAAAAATTTAAAAGCACTTTGTTAGAGCATCAATCAACGAGTATTTCGAGCTGTTTTGTTTATAAATCGGAGCCTATAAGGAAAAGTTGTGGGCAATAAAGTGCAGGAGCTTGTTCATTTTTGGCAAGCCAAATTTTAAAAAAGGTGTAGGTTGTCAATTGGGGTCGTATCATAACATTAATTAATAGCACAAAAAACCTCCTCTAGGTAAATATTCCCCCGATGACCGTTTTGAAATTAATATTTCCGCAAAGTGCTATTCCATTGAAATATTGGCATACATTTGTTCAACAATCGGACATATCTGATTCAAACAAATCGTGGTATAAAAGTAAGCTTGCCAGTTGCAATTATTTTAAAAGCCCGGTGGCTCAATTAATGTGCCACCATGGCAATGACTAAGCCCGCAATAAACTTGATGGTTGGCAAAAGTTTCCCTTTCCAGTATTTTGTTGTGTAAAGTAAAGTGGCATGCATTTGAGCATAAAATTATAATAAAAATTCCTGGCTTATTGAGTGAGTTTGTGTGTGAAGCGAATCTTTCCACAGAGAGAAAACTTTCAACGGCTTTTTTGACCGATATAGTTTTCTGATATTAAAAATGAAACGATTCCGTGTTGTTGCTAAATAGATAATTGTTTAAGGAGTATGTATAATGAATACAATTTCCTAAGTATATTGATTGCGGGCTTCGCATCCTTTTACTGAGGGAAATTATCTGCGGCACGCGTATCTCTGTTTCTTTTTCCATCGTTGCCATTGACAGTTTTTTGTTTTCTTTTATTTTTTGTTTGCAACTGCATACAAAAAGCTTTCTGTTTAATGGAATATTTAACACAATTTAAAAAGTTTTTTTCTAAAGACAAACAAAGACTCGGAAGCACACATGGGGGAGGTATATAGTTGGTGGGCGGGCCGAAGAAGAGGCAACTTTTGTTGCAGCTTCAGACTGGAGAAAACTAAACGCGTGCACATACACGTTTCTTTTTTTTTTTTATGGAAATTGTGTAATGACAGTTAATGAGGGTCCCTGCAGTTCCAAAAGTGGCTTTTCGTCGATGAAATGGACGACGACCCACCGATGACAGGGGAAGCAGCCACTGGTGGCTATCCGATGACAATTCATATAGTCATTTGTATGGGATCGCCGGTTTTGTCATGCATGACGCTCTGGATGACAATTTTGTCCGTTTCATCGAACGAGTCATCGGTGGCTTATACGAATTTTGTATGGAGAAAATTCGTATAAGCCATTGATGATTTCGTTGGTGACGTGGGGGAGACAATTTCATCGATGGCTTTTGGGAGGATACCCTTAGTGAAATCATTAATGTCAATGTCTAAAAATGTCATCCCCAAATTCATATGAAAAACAATATATATATATTTATTTCTTTTTTAATTTTATTAAAATATCTTATTTTATAACATAAGAGATAAGTTGATAAATAATATGAAATTCGAAAGTTTTTGTTTACCATTTATATGTGGTTACAAATTAAAATGGCTTCTGACGAATATTCGCAGGGCAGCGTTTTGCGTCCGTCTCCCTTGAAATGGTATAAAAAATATTTTTATTATTACATATTATATATGACTTTTATGATTTAAAAGCAAACTTACCTTTCAAACGAATGTATCGGACATATGGCTGAATATTGAAAATATTTAAGAATATTTAAATAGGTTTTTAGTTAAAAAACATACTATTTTTATAATCTTATCGACACTTACATGATTTTTAAACACTCTCCGCTGCCCGTTGCACAAATTAAGAATTTCACAACCAATCGTCAACGCACTACTCAAAAGAATGACGCAGGTCAATTTCAATTTTCACCCTTTGCTCCGTTTTTTTTCGTTTTAGTATACCCTTCTTTTTTGGGTTATAGCCGACCATAAATAACTCGCGAGTTACATATGTATATTATTTCCATATTTGTAATTAATGTTATGTCATGTGAAAAAACAATAAGCATTTTTATTGCCGAAACGAAAAACTTTGCGATTGCAGTGGTTAATTCTTTGCGCTGGTTTTTATTAGTCGAATAGCGAAAATAAGACGAAAGTTGCGGCGATGCGCACGATAAGGAGTTCAGATTTCAACTAAACTTTTAATTTCATAAAATTCTCTTACATGCCTATACCTAAAGTACTGAGCGGGAGATCGGCGGCCGAATTCGCCTGAGCGAGAAAGCTTTATTAAGCCCCGACCCCCGCTTTACATAAACATAACAAGAGAACTCTCCAAACATGGTTACCTTGGTTCAATAATTTACATAATAATGTATATATAAACTATATTATATATATAAGTTTATATATATATATATATATATTATACCTAATATATGAAGAACTTTAGCATCAAAAGAGTATACATAAGTCGAGCGCCGCTCAGCCATATTTCCCATCGAAACCCAAATTGTTTCTAACGGAGAATGACAACATTGCAATAAAAAAAACGAAGACAAATTTGGAGTCGGGCCGCCGTCGGATGCAAGCAACGATTCGCATTATAAGAGTGAGAAGGAGAGGGAAACTTAGGAATATCCCTTTTCCTTTCCTACACACACGATTGCTTAAATGACACGAGTCACCAGGTGACAGCCAGAACTGCAGGGGTACTACATAAACAGACACAAGCACACATCTTACACATACCTTTCGAGAACCTCACCTGTGCATAAACAGCCAGTGTTGTCGAGTGTTCCATTAACAACGAGGCCAGCTTACCAACACTTGAGCTGGATTTCTCCTCACGCTGTCCACTGTGGAGGAAGTGAAAATTTGTGGCAATTAAATTGTTGGGAAAACTTTTCCAAAATGAATAAAAACCTTATTAATAAAAAACTTATTGTATCAACAAACTAAGCAGCACAAGTTATACGAATTTTCAAACTGTATTTTTTAATAATTGGAATACATTAGCAAAAGTGCCCAAACTCGTTTGGAAGTATGAGCTGGGCTAAATCGTTGCTAATTACGAATATAAAAAGCACTTTTTAGATTCCCGAAAGCCTTTCACTCCAAGTTTCAAACTCCTGGGTAATTTATAATAACATTTACCTAGCACATAAATATCCCCGCCTCGGAAAGAAATTACGGGCGAGAGGAGCCGTCTCCCATTGTGCTCCTCTTTCAAAACAGCAGCTCTTGTCTACACGAATTACTCAAAAAACATACTTAACACACTCACCCTCTCAAAGGCATTAATGGAGGGGGCGTCGAAAGTGGGAGCGGCGGGAAAACGCGGGGGTTTTCGGAGAAAGATGAATGGGGAGGAGCTGCGACTGCGGGACATCAATGTTGATGGCATACCAGAAAAGTTTTGTTCTAAGCTTTTGGACAGCGCCGGCAGAATCTCAAACATTTTCACCTGCAAGCAAATAGCGGAAGAGAGGTGTTTTCCGGGGTGAAGGGGGGTGTTTTGGAAAATGAAGAGCGGGTGGCCGTGGGTTTTCCTGGGGTGGGAGGTGAAGTATCCATGTGTGAGAGAGTATCAAAACATATGAAGGAAGCGCCGCTACAAGCGCACGAGTTCAACTTAGTGTGTACTTAACTTCCGTTACACGGCCACCACTACACCTGCACACCTCACCCACACACTCGCGCACACATCCTTTCACACGCATGGCCAGCGGCTCACATATACTCACACGCAGAGAAAATGGGAGTGCAAGAGATAATAATATATTTTAATAATAGCGTATTTTTTGGCTAATTTGCAATCAAGTATATTAACCACTTTTCAAATATGTATTTATATTTGACTATTTTTCAGAAACCAATTAAAGACTTCAATTTTATTGGGTCAAGAGGCTTCATCCTTTTTTATATTAAATCAAGAATATATTTTTACAGTGAACGTGTTTGTTTGTTTATGCCAAAAGTGTTGTAAAGTGCGGCGCTTTGTCGGCAGGAAACGCTGAAAATTTATTACCGGACAATTTTGCCGGGGGCATAAAAAAGAGAGCCCACCGAAAAGGGGGCGGGGCAAGCCTAGTCTCCCCTTTCTCCCCCTCCCCGCACACATGCATATGCATAGTTTGCTGGCCGTAAGTGTATGCAAACATGCCTAAAAAATCTGGAACAGTCGAGGGGAAAGGAAATGCGGGGCGAGGGCGAGGGAAATGTGTAAGCAGGCGGGCCATTTTCCATTAAAAATTCAAAATGCCCGACGCCCTGCCCGCCATTAACACCCAGGATAGATTTGTGTGTGTGTGTGTGTGTGTGTGTGTGTTTGGGAAGTGGGGGTATCTGTGAGTTCGAGGGAAAACCTCTTTAGTGCCCTCCCCAGCTATCGTTTGCTTTTCCTTTTCTCCGCTTTAAACACCTCGTCTTCTCACCTTTCGAATGGGGTTTTCTCTATGTGTTGAGGAATTTGCAGCGCCGTTAAAACTGAATTGATTTGTTATTCATGTTTTCTGACTTATGGCCAACACTTTCGGCTTTCCGCCTACCATTCAATTGACGTGGCCAATGGCGCCGACTTTTCCCCATCGCCGTCCTCCACTGGAAATAGTGAAAATTTAATGCAGGCACTGAATTCAGGAGCGGATTTTCAAAGATCAGG